CAGGATGGAGCAGGAAGACATGAGATTTTATTATGCTACTCAGAACTTCATGCACTTTAAAACTTACCAAGTGTTTATTGGGCCTGGTGCGGTGGCTCACGCCTGTAATCCCAGCACTGTGGGAGGCTGAGGTGGGCAGATCACAAGGTCAGGAGTTTGAGACCATCCTGGCTAACATGATAAAACGCTATCTCTACTAAAAATACAAAAAAATTAGCCGGGCATGATGGCACGTATCTGTAATCCCAGCTACTTGGGAGGCTGAAGCAGGAGAATTGCCTGAACCTGGGAGGCGGAGGTTGCAGTGAGCCAAGTTTATGCCACTGCACTCCAGCCTAAGGAACATAGCAAGACTCTGTTTCAAAACAAATTAAAAAAAAAACTTATCAGGTGTTTACTTCTGGAATTCTCTATTTAATATTTTAGGACCAAGAATGACTGCAGGTAACTGCACAGTGCCTCACGCCTGTAATCCCAGCACTTCGGGAGGCTGAGGCAGATAGATCACCTAAGGTCAGAAGTTCAAGACTAGCCTGACCAACATGGTGAAACCCCGTCTCTACTAAGAATACAAAAATTAGCTGGGCGTGGTGGCGCACATCTGTAATCCCAGGTACTTGGGAGGCTGAGGCGGGAGAATTGCTTGAACCCAGGAGGCAGAGATTGCAGTGAGCCAAGATCACTCAGCCTGAGCAACAGAGTGAGACTTCATTTAAAAAAAAAAAAAAAAAAAAGAGTATCCGGAAAAAAAAAAAGGGAGAAAGAAAAAAAATTCAGAATTTAAAACAATATGGAAGCTTAAAAAGAACTTAAAAATAAATAATACAGAGGAGTGTTATAAATTAGTCAGAAATTCCTCAGCCTTAAAAAACCATGACCTATATTTTAGCCAAGTAAAGATAGGAATAGCAGATCTTGCATTCAAATCCGCTGCACCAGGACAAGACCAGCTGGCAGAGGTGAAATCTTGAGGAGAGATAGCCTGTGACCTGTCAGTAGGATTCTCTGAGACCCCTGGAAGGGGATTCAAATTCCAGCATATGTCATTGCACCAGAAGTGGGAAACAGCTAATTAAAAACCTGCCAAAAAAGCCAGCCTACTGGAGATAAGACTCAGGAAGCATTTTCCAAACGAGAAGCGCGAAGGAGGCCACAGAAGAGAAATCCTGGACTTTTATGCAGTTGGTGAGGGTCATTGTTTCCTGCCTTGCAATCACTATGGAATAGTCACAGGCAGGAAGCATCAGAAAAATGAAAGTGTAGAATTCTATTAGAGGAAGAAAAAAATGATTGATAGGAGGAATATCTCCATCATCGAATGGAATATTCCATTTTACACAGATTTCTTCTGAAGGTCAAGGACTGAACTAAAGGACACAGCCTGCATGTAACTGCCCTGAGTTTGGCGGTAAGGAGAGGAGGGGGAGCTAGATTATCTCATCGGTGTGCATAGGAAATCTGACAGAACACTGGAGATGGGGGCCCAGGCTTACTCTTTCTTTTTTTTTTTTTTTTTTTATTAGATAGGGTCTCACTCTGTCACCTAGGCTGGAGTGCAGTGGCACAATCATGGCTCACTGCAGCCTTGTCTTCCTGAGCTTGAGAAATCCTCCCACCTCAGCCACCAGAGTAGCTGGGACTATAGGCATACCACCACACCAGGCTAATTTTTAAAAATTTTTCTAGAGATGAGGTCTCATTATGTTCCCCAGGCTGGCCTCTAACTCCTAGACTCAAGTGATCCTCCCACCTTAGCCTCCCAGGGTGTCAGGATTACAGGCCTGAGCTACCACACCCAGCCCCACGTTTACTCTTTCTGATACAATTTTCTGTAAGCCTCCAGCATTCTGGCCCAGGCACAGATGCTGAAAGATCTAGACTAGCTGCACTATTTCCCACACTTTGAGCCTTTTTGGGTACAGTTTTAAACTAAGATCGAAGTATCTTTGAAAACCCAATGCTAATATTTCTCAAACCACACTGTCAAAACATCCCACATAAAAAAAAAGTGAAATCAAGGAAAAAGTAAAAAATAAGACAGCAGAGTAAAAATGGGGGCACTATTAGATACTTCATCCCCAGCAGTACTACCACAGCCAAAAGTGGTTGCCTTCAGAATTTTCCTCTGGGTCTTATTATTTTTCCAGCATATTCTACAATTATAAAAATATCTATTACTGTTTATTAATGTACATGCTTATGTGTATAAACCGTACTTGCCCAGCTGAATCCTGGGCAAATTCCATACCCTTTCATTCTAGAATCCCAGACTTAGTGCCACAAATCCCATGATTTGAAACTCGACCTAGAATCCAAACCCTGCTTAATTTTGGATGCATCCTCAGACTTAGCATGGAGAAGTTGTCAAAACAATGCAATAGCAGAGAGGTCCAAAAGGCAAAAACAAGCAACTCTTCTATTGCTTAAACGGTGCATGCTTTCCAAGCTGTTTTTTTTTTTTTTAATATTTTTTATTTATGTGTGTGTGTGTGTGGGTTTGTTTTTTTTTTTTTGAGACAGAGTTTTGCTCTTATTGCCCAGACTGGAGTGCAATGGTGCAATCTTGGCTCACTGCAACCTCTGCCTCATGTGTTCAAGCAATTCTGCCTCAGCCTCCTGAGTAGCTGGGATTACAGGCATGCGCCACCATGCCCAGCTAATTTTTTGTATTTTTAGTAGAGATGGGATTTCACCATGTTTGCCAGGCTGTCTCAAACTCCAGACTTTAGGCGATCTACTTGCCTCAGTCTCCCAAAGTGCTGGGATTACAGGCATGAGCCTCCATGCCCGGCATGTGGTTTTTGTTTTAAGTAAATGTTGCTTCCTTTTAGGAAGGGGACATTTCCTTTCTTCTTTCACTAAGCTATAGGTTCAAAAATAAGAACCTGCAGGAATCCTTACAAATTTAAAATTTATTTAGAGGTTTACCTGCAATTTCAGAGCTCTATCTGGATGCATATCCTGATAGCAAACCACTTGAATTGCTCAACAAAAAGACCACAATCATGAACTGGATACATTCATGACATCAAGGGAAATATGCCTATAATGCCTATAGGAATAATGAAAAGTTAATTATAGAAGAAGCCCGATATTCTGCAATAGTAAGTATTGTGAAGAAAAGAAAAATGTTCAGTGCCAAATGAAGTCAATATTACCTACGATGTAGTGAAAAGGGTGTTTCTTTGCTTTTATTTTTTTATTTTTATTTTTATTTATTTTACATATGTGTATGTGTGTGTATATATATATCAGGGTAAAAAATGTTGGTAAAAATTAGGGGTAAATTGGCCTTAACAAATAACTATATAACAGTGATGTCTTCTGAATAATTCAAGAATGAGATTTTAGAGAATGGGTTTTTAGTGGTTGGGACAGGTTTGTTTTTTAAATGAATGCTTTCCAGAACTTTTATTTATTTATTATTTTTGACATAGGGTCTCACTCTATCTCCTAGGCTGGAGTGTAGTGGCTCAATCTCAGCTCACTACAACTTCGGCACACTGCAACCTCCGCGTTCCGGGTTTAAGTGATTTTCCTGCCTTAGACTCCCGAGTAGCTGGGACTAGAGGCGTGCACCACCATGCCTGGCTAATTTTTTGCATTTTTAGTAGACAGGGTTTCACCATGTTGACCAGGCTGGTCTCGAACTCCTGACACCCACCTCTGCCTCCCAAAGTGCCAGGATTACAGGCATGAGCCACCGCGCCCAGCCTAACAAAATGATTTTTTTTAAAAGAGGAGGGGCGATGTATCTTATATTTATTAAACTTTTTGCTATTTGAAGAATTAATACATTCATGCAAAGAAAAAGATTAAACATGTCCTACAGTGTTATCATTTGAAATCTCTTAAAAGCGGCTCTGCAACTCTGTCCCATGAGTATCTACCACATATTTGAAATTCTCAGGTCTTTTTTTTTTTTTTTTTTTTTTTTTTTGAGACAGAGTCTCGCTCTGTCTTGCCCAGGCTGGAGTGCAATGGCTCGATCTCAGCTCACTGCAACCTCTGCCACCCGGGTATAAACGATTCTCTTCAGTTTCCCAAGTGGCTGGGATTACAGGCGTGTGCCACCATGCTCGGCTAACTTTTGTATTTTTAGTAAAGATGGGGTTTCACCATGTCGGCCAGGGTGGTCTTGAGCTCCTGACTTTGCGATCCACCCACCTCGGCCTCCCAAAGTGCTGAGATGACAGGCGTGAGCCGCTGTGGCCGGCCTGAAATTCCCAGTCTTATACCTCCAGTCCTTTGGAATGCTGTAATGTTTAGAGTCCATACAAGAAGCCATTAAAATGCAAATATGTCATCTGTGGTAGGAACCAAGCTGGCATCTGGCAGACACTGACACATTTACCAGACTGATGTGTGGACAGCTAGGTGCCTTTCAGAGGCCTTAGGTCAGGCGGAGGAAGGGCCGATCCTGAGCTGACACAGTAGGATCCACCTTGGCCGGCGGCCGAGATTCTGCTGACAACCAGCTCCTCCGCAGCAGACCTGGCTGCAGGGACCAGCCAGGACAAAGGCAGTCCAGGGAGGCCCAGCGGCGCCGCGCGATCACGTCCGAGTCTCCTGGTTCCCCTCGGCCCTTCCTAAAACCTGGTGGCTCAGGTCCGAACAATCGCAGCCGGACAGGTGATGCACAACGTTGTGAATTCTCATCTTTTTCATCAGCGCCATCCTTCAGTTCCCTTACTTCAAGGCTATTTGTGGGCTGGGGAATTGGCCAAATCGAGTAAAAACCGAAAATGTCTTTTTGTTCTTTTCGGTTCCGCCGGTTTAAATTCCAGGCAATCTTTAAGCTAGGAGGCTGATAAGTATTATTCTCTGCTTGCCCTTTTCAAAGGCACTTCAGCTTATAAACTCCGTGTTGGAGGAGCCAGGCCTGTTAGAAGCCACCGGTCTACAGTCACAGTCAGCAGATCCCGCCTCGGATCTCCCCCTGCCGGGCCCCCAGGCCAGGCCCGCACGCGCGCCCGGCCCTGGAGATCACGTCTCGTGCGTCGAGAGGCGGGGCCGCGGGCTCTGACGTCACGTGGCCGCGCCCCTGCCGCCCAGATATCTCCCGCGCCGCCCGCCATCTTGTTTCCAGTGTTTGGATTGCGGCCGGCGGTGTTGGGGGAACTGTGTGGCTCCGTAGGCGGGAGGCTGGGTACAGGGTCTATTGTCTGTGTTTGACTCTGTAGTTTGGCCCGAGGCCTTCGCGAGCTATCCCGGGGCCGTTAGCAGAAGCCGCAGCGGCCGTCCCCGCCCGTCTCAGCTGTCCCCCGGCCCAGGAGGGACCGACTCCGCGTCACGCCCCTCAGCGCTTGCGGCTCTCTTCTCTGTCGTTGGGTCCGCATCGTGTTCCCGGAATCAGACGGTGCCCCATAGATGGCCAGCTTTCCCCCGAGGGTCAACGAGAAAGAGATCGGTGAGGATTGGGGCCGTGAGTGGGCGCGTGGGGGCCGAGAAGAGGCAGGGACTCCCCGGAGGAGGTTTGGGAGGAAGCGACTTCGAGTCTGAGGGGTTAGCATGAGTGCGCCAGGGCCAGCCCAGAGCAAGGAAGAGGAAGCCGCCTTGGTGGGAGCTGGCTGAGGGGTAAATGGCACCGACGTGGATGTAGCACCTTCCGTGCTCCCTCGCGGTTGCTGTGTGGCCGGGGCGGGCACGGACCCCAGTTTGTTCATCGGAGGTTCGCGCAGGGCTCCTGTCCTGGGAGTCTCTTGGCTCAGGGCCTGACTGTCGAGTGGACAGGGAAGGGCCACTCAGGGACGTTAGGTTTACAATGGGGAAAAGTAAACTTGTGAGTTCTGAGCTGTAATGAAAGAGTGTCCTCGTGTATACTAACCACTCGTAGATGAGAAACGTGACTGGAAGAGGTTCCAACAGCCTGGAAAAAACAATACTGTATTTTAAAAAATGCCGTGGCGTTAAGAAAGGCAGCAGTCGGGGGAGGAGACTCTTTCAGAATTATCTTTCAAACACTTAGGAGCAGGGTGGTTGGGTGGAGTGACTCAAGGAAAGCTGTTGTGCGGAAGAGCACACTCTGGAAAGGCTTTTCTGGCTTAGAGTCTAGCCCAGGGCAATCGATGTGGAAGGTTGTGCGTCCACACCTAGTACTTAGTGGCTCAGTGGAAAGCACCGCATTATTTAAATCCTCTTTTAAAGTAAAATAACTGCAACAACGTTTGAAGGTGTTAGGGAGTTAGCAAACACTGAAATTACTGTGTTAAGTAATAATTAGCTGTGGTCACTGAGCAGAGAGCATTTACATTTTCCTGCTCTTGAAGTGAATGTGTTTCTTTACTAAATATTAAAGAGGAGCTATTTCTAGAGAAGGGCAGAGGCTGAGGAAGCCAAAACGTCCACTGTTTTATATGTGGGTGAATGTTTATATCTAGAAACAGCTATTTTAGAATTCTGGACTTTTGTTGTCCTAGGGGTGATTGATTAGGAAGGGACTTTACCCCTGGTTTTAATAACTATTTTAAAGATACAAAGACAGGAAAAAAAATTGTAGCAGAGGTCACACAGAAAATTTTTTTAAAAAGATGCAGAGAGCACAAAATTTGTGTCCAGTTATTATTTTAACTGTATTTTAAGACTAGAAAGTGTGTCGCAAAGTGGAACAAAAAACTCAAGTTCTTATCAGTTTAGTGGGTTTTTCTTTTACTTTACTACACCGTAATACTATAGATGAGTGATCTGCCTTTGTTTTATCTGTATTTTATTTCATCCTGATAAACCATTTTGAAAACTTTCTGGTCCTGTTTTCTAAAAGATGAGTAGGGTTTCTTAGCATACCTACATAAAGTAGAACCATTCACTAAGTGTCACCCCCACCTCTGCCAGCCCTCCTCACTCTCTTTTCTCTCTCTCTCTTTCTTTCTCTCTCTCTCTCTCTTTCCTCTCTTTCTTTTTCACATTTAGGAGTGTTAGTTCCTGGATATGGTTGGTATAAAAAGTTAGTAGCTAAGCACCAAATATCTAGAAAAACTTTTGCTTTTTCTAAGCTTTTTTTTTTTTACCCGTTTTTTCTTCCTTTTTTTTTTTTTTTTTTTTTTTGAATAATTTGGATACAAGGTTAAACATTTATATCTCTGTGTAACTTTTAATTTATGAATAAGGATTTATTTTTTTCTTTTCTTGGGTGCTAATTATAGCCAAGTCAAATTTAGTTTCTCAAGGACATACTGAGAATAGAGGCAAGATGCCATGAATGATTCAATAATTCTGTATACTACTACTGCCTTGAGCTACTGCTCCCTTTCACAAGGCACTGATCGTTCCTTTCTGGTTATGAAATTTTGGGGAGGAATGTAAAGGAATTAAATCTGGTTTGCTTGGTTAAGCAGTGACACAGATGATGTGTTACTATTTTACAGATACTAATAATGTAGTGTTGTATCTTATGGCTGATTTCCCATGGCAGGCAGCCTTTCCCTTAACAAGGTTATTACATCATACATTTCTGTTGCTAACATTAAACAGTTAAAAGATTTAACTTAAAAAACTTTTTTCAAAGCACTTTATTATGCACTTTGTGCTGGATTTCTAAAATTGTACAGTATTTAAATTGAGTGCTTAAATCATTTGATTAAAGTGCAAAAATGAGTTTGATATACCTATTATCCAGCAAGGAAACACAGTCAAGGCAATTATTAGTAAACTTTAACAAAGTAATGCATTTATTTCGCAGGATTTATAATGGCCCTACTTTTTGAGTTTGTGTATAATTGAGAATAAATTACGTTATTTCATAGTCTTTGCTATCTGTTTGAACCAATTTTTTAGTAATTGTTACTGCTCTTTTACTTTCTTTTTGAGATGGAATCTCTCTCTGTCGTCCAAGCTGGAATGTAGTGGTGCAATCTCAGCTCACTGCAACCTCCACTTCTAGGGCTTAAGCGATTCTCCTGCCTCAGCCTCCCAAGTAGCTGGGATTACAGATGTGTGCCACCACGCTTGGCTAATTTTTTGTATTTTTAGTAGAGATGGGGGTGTTTCACCATGTTGGCCAAGCTGTTCTTAAACTCCAGACCTCAGGTGATCTGCCAGACTTGGCCTCCCAAAGTGCTGTTACAGGCATGAGCCATTGTACCCAGCCTGCACGCATGCGCGCTTTCTCTCTCTCTCTCTCCCTTTTTTTTTTAAAGATAGAGTCTTGCTCTGTCACCCAAGCTGGAGTGCGATGGGAAAATCTTGGCTCTCTGCAGCCTCTGCCTCCTGGCAGTCCTCCCACTTCAGCCTGGAATTACAGGTGCAGGCCACCACACTTGCTAATTTTTAAAATTTTTTGTAGAGATGAGGTCTTTGTATAAATCCCAGCCTGGTCTCAAACCTGTGTGATCAAGTGATCCATCCACCTTGGCCTACCAAAGTATTGGGATTACCAGTGTGCCTATCCTGTTACCACTATATACAAGGAGTACCATGATTGTGGTCAAGGTAGAGGAAAAATATAGACTAACTTTAAAATACAGACCAGGCCTGGCATGGTGGCTCACATCTGTAATTCCAGCACTTTGGGAGGCCTAGGTGGGTGGATCACCTGAGGTCAGAAGTTAAAGGCCAGCCTGGCCAACATGGCAAAACTTCGTCTCCACTAAAAAATCCAAAAATTAGCTGGGTGTGGTGGTGGGTGCTGTAATTGCAGCTACTCAGGAGGCTGAGGCAGGGAGAATTGCTTGAACCTGGGAGGCGGAGGCACAGTGAGCTGAGATCACTCCATCCTGGGTGACAGGGTGAGACTCTGTCTCAAAAAAAAGAGTCTTGTGTGAGAAATTTAATCTTGCATATGCTTGCTAAGGGAGAGCTTAGTTTTAGTCTAATTTGTGAGATGTCCTTGAAATTGAATGCAGGGGCTGTTCTTCGTGTACAAGTTACCTAAATATTCTCCTTAGAGACTTTCAAGTTGAATTTTGAAACTTGCTTCCCTTATTTGTGAACTTGGCATTTTTTTCTCCTAAAATTTATGAATTAAAAGATAGATGTGGTTAAACAGGAATCCAAATTAAAAAAAAAAAATATGACTGATGCAGTGGCTCATGCCTGTAATCTCACTGCTTTGGGAAACCAAGGAGGAAGGATTTCTTGAGGCTAAGAGTTGGAGACCATCCTGGGCAACATAGCAAGACCCTGTCTATAAAACTGGCTTTTTTGCCGAGCGTGGTGCCTCACATCTGTAATCCCAGCACTTTGGGAGCCCTAGGCAGGTGGATCATGAGGTCAGTAGTTCAAGACCAGCCTGACCAACATGGTAAAACCCTGTCTCTACTAAAAATACAAAAAGTATCAGTATTAATGGTTAATATTGTAGCAAATAAAAAAAGAAAAAAATACAAAAAGTAATAATAATAATAATTAGCCAGGCGTGGTGGCACATGCCTATAGTCCCAGCCACTTGGGCTGAAGCAGGAGAATTGCTTGAACTCGGAGGCAGAAGTTAGAGTGAGTCAAGATCACACCAGTGCACTCCAGCTTGGGCTGCAGAGCAAGACTCCATCTCAAGAAAAAAAAAGTTTTTTTAAATTAATTAATTTTTTTTTTTTTTTTGAGGCGGAGTTTCACTCTTGTTACCCAGGCTGGAGTGCAATGGCGCGATCTAGGCTCACCACAACCTCTGCCTCCTGGGTTCAGGCAATTCTCCTGCCTCAGCCTCCTGAGTAGCTGGGATTACAGGCACGTGCCAGCATGCCCAGCTAATTTTTTGTATTTTTAGTAGAGACGGGGTTTCACCATGTTGACCAGGATGATCTCGATCTCTTGACCTCGTGATCCACCCGCCTCGGCCTCCCAAAGTGCTCGGATTACAGGCTTGAGCCACCGCACCCGGCCAATTAATTTTTTTAAGTTAGGTAGGTGTGGGGGCATGTGCCTGTAGTCCCTGCCACAGCTACTCAGGAAGTTGAGGAAGGATCATTTAAGCCTACCAGTTTGCCTCTGCACTCCAGCCTGAGCAACAGAGCAAGACCCTGTCTAAAAAATTAGGCAGGCAGGGGTTGCAAATTTAGAGGCCAGTCATATAAAGAGCGCTGTTGAGAGGAATGTATAAAGGCTCTGGGGTTTGGAAAAATGTAAGGAAAATTGGAGCAGCATGCTCTTTGTGAAATTATTTGTCTGTTAAAAAAATGTATCAGCAGGCATTTGAGGGTTACCAAGTTTGTGAATTTTGTATTAGGAAAGTTATATGACTTGTAATCCCAGTGCTTTGGGTGGAGGGTGGGAGAATCACTTGTCCAGGTGTTTGGGACCAGCCTGGGCGACAAAGGGAAAGCCTACTACCTCTACCAAAATGAAAACATTACTGGGTGTGGTGGTGCATGTCTGTGGTCCCAACTACTTGGGAGGCTGAGGCAGTAGGATTGCCTGAGCCTGGGAGGTTGAGGCTGCAGTGCGCCATGATCGTGCTACGGCACTCCAGCCTGGGTGACGGAGCAAGACCCTGACTCAAAAGAAAAACATCATGTGACTGCCAGTAAAGTTAATGTTGTCTTGTTCTGTGCTAATACAGGGTGGGTGGGTCGGTGAGCAACTCTGTGGCTGTGATTAAACCACACCTGAAGTATTGTTCTTAGTTTTGGGTGCCACTTTTATGAAGGTCGCTACTAACTATAATTTATCCAGAAAAGTGTAATGAAGTTAGGATGGGAAATGAACTTGAAGCCATGTCATTTAAGGAATGATTGAAAGGATAGAGATATTTTAGCTTGGCAAAAAGATTCCTTCATGGCTATCTTCAGTATGTAAATGTCATACGAGGATAGCATTAGGCTTTTTCTCTTAGGTCTGAATCACTACTGGGTGGGTACAGTGGTAGCAGGGAGATTTTGAGTCATTAAAATTGGTCTCAGGTACACCAAAATAGTGTCAGCCTTATTATGAATATCAAGAAAAGTAGGTCTCAGGCTCTCTGTTTTGGTTTTTTAAACCACACCAATTTGTTAAGGTGTCGAGAATTGGGCAGAGAACATATTTAAATCACTTTAGAATGGGAGCATATATGTGTGCTTTTGTATTTATTCAATAAATATTTACTGTGTACCTGTCATATGCCAGGTGCTGTACTAGCTATTGATGGAGCACACATTCAGACTGAACAAGTACATTTTGAGTATGTGGATGTGTGTGTGAGGACTCGTGTGTGTGAGCACTCGTATGTGTGTGTATCCTCTAGCTATAGCAGTGTAAGTAGTTCTTACATTAACAGCAATACATAGAATGTATCAAAGCTTAGGTGTTGGAAAGTTTAAGCCAGAAATACATAAAAATATATTATTATATACTGTAGAATTGACCAGACAACTGACCACAAAATAGATAATACAAAAGCTAAACTGTCAATAACTAAAAACAAAAAAGGAAAAATAGTAACATTTGAAATCGAGACTAACCCAGAATAGGTGATAACACTGAGAAAGAGGTGCCTTTCCCAAAATTGAGGAAATTCTAGCTGAGTTTGCATGCATGCATTGCAGTATGAGCTTGTTGATCATTTTGTTAAATATGGAAGTAATGTGCTTTATATACTCTGGTAATATGCCAGTTTTTCTTAGGAATACAAAATTTGAGTAATCTTAATTTAAAATAAAAGACATTGTCCATTTTTTTGTTGTTGTTCTTAGAAACCAAAATAATTCCATTTTTGAGTCAGTTTGGGGTCCATTAGGAAGACTCAAGGGCCACTATTTGAGAATTGTAAATATGATGCTTTTTTTTTTTTTAAAGATAGAGTCTTGCTCTGTCACCCAGGCTGGAGTGCAGTGGTGCAATCTTGGCTCACTGCAGTCTTCACCTCCGGGGTTCAAGTGGTTCTTACGGAGTTTTTTGAGACCAGAGTTTCACTCTTGTTGCCCAGGATGAAATGCAGTGTGCGATATCAGCTCACTACAACCTCCACCTCCTGGGTTCAAGTGTTTCTTCCAAGAAACTGGGATTACAGGCACGCTCCAGCATTATAACCACCATGCCTGGCTATAATGCATTTTACTAGATTTATTTTAATTTATTTTTTTTGAGACAGACTCTCGCTCTGTTGTTGCCCAGGCTGGAGTGCAGTGACACTTTCTCACTGCAACCTCTGCTGCTGGGTTCAAGGGATTCTCTTTTCTCAGCCTCCTAAGTAGCTGGGATTACAGGCATCCATCACCACACCCGGCTAATTTTTGTATTTTTAGTAGGGACAGGGTTTCATCATGTTGACCAGGCTGGTCTCAAACTCCAGACCTCAAGTGATCTGCCCATCTCAGCCCTGCCAAATGTTGGGATTACAGATGTGAGCAACCACACCCAGTCTATAGACTTACAATGCATTTTAAGGCACTGGTTGGGAGGTTGGATTAGACAGCCTTTAAATCTTCTAGTTCTGAGGATTTTGTGATTTTTGTGACCTGGGCCTGAAAAGGATAAAAGTATTTGTAGAGCGTATTTGAAGAGCGTATTTTATAGTGCTTTTGTTTGAGTAATGGTGTAATACTGTGTTTTATGGTGATAAATGGTTTTTGAAAGCTAAGAAACTTAATTTGGGAGATACTTTTCTTGCAAACTAAGTTTAATCTCTTGCAGTTTAAATGTTAATAATTTGATGAGAACATAATACAATTGGTCATTACATTATTGGTCATTACATTATTATTGCTTGAACAATTTTTTTATTGAAACTTTCTTAAAAACTCTTGCATTGAGAAATTTTAGTAAGGTCACTTTATCAAAACTTAGAGCTAGTCACTATCATTAAGGGGTCTTCATATACTGCATATTCCCTGTTAGAGGATGGAAAGCAGGACTTACTATACCCTGTCTGCATAGAAGAGGGAAGAAACTCATTTCCAAAGTAATATGGAAGCAGTCTCACATGGATTATGTGTTGGTTATATGTGATATCCAGTATTTGTGTTTTTCTTTTTAGTGAGATCACGTACTATAGGTGAACTTTTAGCTCCTGCAGCTCCTTTTGACAAGAAATGTGGTCGTGAAAATTGGACTGTTGCTTTTGCTCCAGATGGTTCATACTTTGCTTGGTCACAAGGACATCGTACAGTAAAGCTTGTTCCGTGGTCCCAGTGCCTTCAGAACTTGTAAGATTTTTTCTTTTTTTTGTATTTTGTATCTGTTGGTGGAATTTACTATTTTCTCTCGGTATAGGGTGATAAAAACATTTTGATATTTAAGTTTTACTTTATAGGTGGCGTAGTGAGTTTTAATCATGGGCTGAATATATTTATTGGCAAATTTGTGTAAAGAATTTTCTGGGCCAGACGTGGTGGCTGACGCCTGTAATCCCCACACTTTTAAAGGCTAAGGTGGGTGGATCACCTGAGGTCAGGAGTTTGAGACCAGCCTGGCCAACATAATAAAATCCTGTCTCCACTAAAAATAAAAAAAAAATTAGCCAGGCATGGTGGCGCATTCCTGTAATCCCATCTACTTGGGAGGCTAAGGCAGGAGACTCTTTTGAACCCAAGAGGCGGAGGTTGCAGTGAGCTGAGATCTCACACTGCATTCCAGCCTAGACAACAAGAGTGAAACTCTTGTCTCAAAAAACAAAAACAGCCGGACGCGGTGGCTCAAGCCTGTAATCCCAGCACTTTGGGAGGCCGAGGCGGGTGGATCACGAGGTCGAGAGATCGAGACAGTCCTGGTCAACATGGTGAAACCCCGTCTCTACTAAAAATACAAAAAATTAGCTGGGCATGGTGGCGCGTGCCTGTAATCCCAGCTACTCAGGAGGCTGAGGCAGGAGAATTGCCTGAACCCAGGAGGCGGAGGTTGCGGTGAGCCGAGATCGTGCCATTGCACTCCAGCCTGGGTAACAAGAGCAAAACTCTGTCTCAAAAAAAAAAAAAAAAACAAAAAAAAAAAATAAAAATTGTCTAGTCTCAGCTGAGCACAGTGGCTCATGCCTGTAATCCTAGCACTTTGGGAGGCCAAGGCAGGCAGATCACTTGAGGTCAGGAATTGCGAGGCCAGCCTGGCCAACATGGTGAAACCCTCTCTCTACTAAAAATACAAAAATTAGCTGGACGTAGTGTTACACACCTGTAGTCCTAGCTACTCCGGAGGCTGAGGCAGAAGAATTTCTTGAACCCAGGAGGTGGAGGTTGCAGTGAGTAGAGATAGCACCACTCCACTGCAGCCTGGGCGACAGTACCAAACTCACTCTCTCTTTTAAAAAAAAAAAAAAAGGTTGTCTGGTCTTATTTATACATTATCTGTATGTTAAAAAGTCAGATTGTGTCTAACAGGTATATATAGTGTTTTGCCAGAGCAGGTGACTTCTGTGATATGAAGTTTTTTGGATTTCACAACATTTTGTTGGATAACACTGGTGCATAGACTGTGTACTTTCTTTCTTTCTTTTTTTTTGCGTCGGAGTTTTGCTCTGGTCACCAGGGCTGGAGTGCAATGGCACCATCTCAGCTTACACTGCAACCTCCCTCTCCTGGATTGAAACGATTCTCCTGCCTCAGCCTCCCGAGTAGCTGGGATTACAGGTGTCTACCACCATACCCAGCTAAATTTTTTTTTTTTTTTGGAAAGCAAGTTGATTAAGAAGGTAAAGGAATGAAGAATGGCTACTCCATAGGCAGAGTAGCCAATTTTTTGTATCTTTAGTAGAGACAGGGTTTTACCATGTTGGTCAAGCTGGTCTCAAACTCCTGACTGGTCTCAAACTCAGGTGATCCACCTACCTTGGCCTCCCAAAGTGCTGAGATTACAGGCATGAGACACAGAGCCCAGCCAATTTATTTTTTTTAAATGGACTTATGGTCACTCTGCTTGGGGTAAATTGAGTTTGAATGTTTGTTGAAAGTTTTTCTTTTTTTTTTTCTTTTTTTTTTTTTTTTTTTTTTGAGACGGAGTTTCACTCTTGTTACCCAGGCTGGAGTGCAGTGGCGCGATCTCGGCTCACCGCAACCTCCGCCTCCTGGGCTCAGGCAATTCTCCTGCCTCAGCCTCCTAAGTAGCTGGGATTACAGGCACGCGCCACCACGCCCAGCTAGTTTTTTGTATTTTTAGTAGAGACGGGGTTTCACTATGTTGACCAGGATGGTCTCGATCTCTCGACCTCGTGATCCACCCGCCTCGGCCTCCCAAAGTGCTGGGATTACAGGCTTGAGCCACCGTGCCCGGCCTGTTGAAAGTTTTTCTTTTTTTTTTTTTTTTTTTTTTTTGAGATGGAGTGTCGCTCTTGTTACCCAGGCTGGAGTGCAATGGCGCGATCTCGGCTCACCGCAACCTTCGCCTCCTGGGTTCAAGCAATTCTCCTGCCTCAGCCTCCTGAGTAGCTGGGATTACAGGCATGTGTCACCATGCCCAGCTAATTTTTTGTATTTTTAGTAGAGACGGGGTTTCACCATGTTGACCAGGATGGTCTCGATCTCTCGACCTCGTGATCCACCCGCTTCAGCCTCCCAAAGTGCTGGGATTACAGGCTTGAGCCACCGCGCCTGGCTGTTGAAAGTTTTTCTAAAATGTATCATGAGCTATATTGAATTTTTCTGTTTATTTTATTTTTATTTTGTATCTAGTAGACCTTCATGGTTATAGTCACTAATGTTCTCATTACATATTACTTGAGATCTAGAACCTATGGGAAACTGATTATTATGGTTTGAGGATTTTTTTTTCCCCTAAGGCAATTTTCTGGTATCAGCTTGACCTATCTTAAGTTACAGGGTTGGTTTTTCTTTTTTCTTGCTTACTTATACTTTTGTCTTTAGGTTAAAGGAGCCCCAGTTGATACAGTGGTTTTGAGGAAAATTGGGAGGCAAATAAGTTATACTATAAATTGCTTTATTGTTGAACTTACTACTCAGTTGCTGAGAATTTCTATAAATGAACTGAATTTATTTGGTCCTTCTCATAGTTCAAATAGCAACTTTTTCTTCCTATCTATAGGATTCTGTTGTTACTCAGTGTCATTATAATCATATTGAGGTTATTTTAACAAACATTTCTAATTATTCAATGTCCAAAGGAGTCCAGAGTGAAAAATAATTCAATTTCAATCTGATTTTCCCTCTCCCCAGCCTCTTGCATGGCACCAAGAACGTTACCAATTCAAGCAGTTTAAGATTGCCAAGACAAAACAGTGATGGTGGTCAGAAAAATAAGCCTCGTGAGCATATTATAGACTGTGGAGATATAGTCTGGAGTCTTGCTTTTGGGTCTTCAGTTCCAGAAAAACAGAGTCGCTGTGTAAATATAGAATGGCATCGCTTCAGATTTGGACAAGATCAGCTACTTCTTGCTACAGGGTTGAACAATGGGCGTATCAAAATATGGGATGTATATACAGGTATGGATTCATAGTTTTTAAAGCAAATTTATTATTTTATGATGCAGGGCACTGCTCATAGGCACTGGAATTAGGATTTGAGAGTTTCAGCTTATTGAAAAGCAAGATTTGATGATGTGGGTGTGTCTTTGTGATTGACCTGAATAGCACCTTCTTCAGCTCATGCTTTTAATTTAGGAAAACAATAGAGTTCACATTGCTTCATCACTGTTTACAGAATATTATAGTAGGAAAGACTTTCTAGGGAATGTTAAGTTAGTTGTCATTTATAAACTAGTTATTTAGTTTATAGCTCACATGATAAGGTGTTTTCTTATATGCTTTTTCAATGATGGCTTAGAGGTTTTCAACATAAATCAGATTTCAGTACTCATTATCTCACCTTTGGAAAGGTTTAGTGAACGTTTAGATAGGTTGAGAAGTTGTCTTTAAGCAGTTAAAAATAAATGTGTTGCTTATTGCCTCAAACACTTTCTGGCATATGTGTACTCACAGATGTAAAGGATTTTTTAAATGAGTATTAAAATAACATGTACATTAAAACATAACAAGTGATACTAACATAGATGATAATGAGTCAACATTTGGGTTCTTGGGAAAAAAATAAGATGAACACACAGATTTTCCTAGAAAACAAAGTTCTTACAGTATTAGGTAAATACATTTTTTCACTGGGATAATGTTTGGAAACTAAGTTGTTATGGGATAACACATATCTTTTGGGAGTTTGACAGTTAATGAGTAATCCAAGGCCAGGCAAATAACAAGCAAATAAATAATTTGATTTTATATTTTAAAATCATACTAAAAGATTTGGAAAATTATAATTTGGGTGCTTTTCTTGATACTAACATGATCTGGGAGGTTGTTTACATTTCAGGAGTTTCCTTTTAAATTTTCTTTCTTTTTTTTTTTTGAGACAAAGTCTCACTCTGTCACCCTGGCTGGAGTACAGTGGCACAATCTCTACTCAGTGCAATGTCCGCCTCCCAGGTTCAAGTGATTGTCATGCCTCAGCCTCCCGAGTAGCTGGAATTATAGGCATGTGCCACCAGACCTGGCTAATTTTTTGTATTTTTAGTGGAAACAGGGTTTTGCCATGTTGGTCAGGCCTGTCTTGATGATTCACCTGCTTCAGCCTCCCAAACTGCTGGGATTACAGGTGTGAGCCACTGCTCCCAGCTTCCCTTTTAATTTTTCTTTGTTTTTTATTTGTTTTGTTTTTAGACAGAATCTTGCTCTGTCACCCAGCTGGAGTGCAATGGCACAATCTTGGCTCACTGCAGCCTCCACCTCCTGGGTTCAAGCCATTCTCCTGGCTTAGTCTCCTGAGTACCTGGGATTATTGCATGCAGCTAATTTTTGTGTTTTTAGTAGAGATGGGGTTTCGCTGTGTTGGCCAGGCTGGTCTCAAATTCCTGACTTCAAGTGATCCGCCTGCCTTGGCCTCCCAAAGTGCTGGGATTACAGCCATGAGCCATTGCGTCTGGCCCCCTTTTAATTTTTCTAATAAATTTAGGCTTTACTATCCTGGAAAGAGACCATCTTAAAAACAATGTAAATAGTAAATCTCTAAAGGGAACAATCATAAATAAATCATTTTATACTTGGTAAAATAAAGAGATGCCAAGAATTTCTATTCATCTTTTTTTAATGGTAAGCAACTCTTTTTTTTTTTTTTTTTTTTTTTTTTTTTAAGACGGGGTTTCACCATGTTGGTCAGGCTGGTCTTGAACTCCCGACCTCAGGTGATCCGCCCGCCTTGACCTTCAAAGTGTTTGGATTACAGGTGTGAGCCACCACACCCGGCCACAACTATTTTTCTTTTCTTTCTTTTTTTTTTTTTTTTGAGACGGAGTTTCGCTCTTGTTACCCAGGCTGGAGTGCAATGGCGCGATCTCGGCTCACCGCAACCTCTGCCTCCTGGGTTCAGGCAATTCTCCTGCCTCAGCCTCCTGGGTAGCTGGGATTACAGGCACACGCCACCATGCCCAGCTAGTTTTTTGTATTTTTAGTAGAGACGGGGTTTCACCACGTTGACCAGGATGGTCTCGATCTCTTGACCTTGTGATCCACCCGCCTAGGCCTCCCAAAGTGCTGGGATTATAGGCATGAGCCACTGTGCCCGGCCAAGAACTCTATTTTTCGAAAGTAGAAGCTTATAAAAAATATTGTTGACCCGGTGTGGTGGTTCATAGCTGTAGTTCCAACACTTTGGGAGGCCAAAGCTGGGGAATCACTTGAGCCCAGGAGTTTTAAAACACCCTGGGCAACATGGTGAGACTCGATCTCAAAAAAAAAAAAAAAGTCAGTGGTGGTGGCTTGTAACTATAGTTCCAGCTATTTCAGAGACTAGGGTAGGGGGATTGTTTGAACCCAGGAGGTCAAGACTGTAGAGAGCCAAGATTGTGCCATTGCACTCCAGCCTGAGTGACTGGGTGAGACCCTGTCTCAACAAAGCTAAGAACAAAATAAAAATATATTAATACTGTCTTTTTTCCCCCCTTTTCTACTACATTTAGGAAAACTCCTCCTTAACTTGGTAGATCATACTGAAGTGGTCAGAGATTTAACTTTTGCTCCAGATGGAAGCTTGATCCTGGTGTCAGCTTCAAGAGACAAAACTCTCAGAGTATGGGACCTGAAAGATGATGGTATGTCTTTTTTCCAGGCTATGAACAAGGCTTCATGTTCCTTGATACTACCATTGAGAAGTATTGGGAACATCTGGGGCATTTGACTTTAAAAATGGCATGTGATCAAAGTTCCTTTTCTGTGCCTAATCCTTTGTTTCTTTCTGAGTAGATCAAAGAAAAACATAAATGTGACCCAGAATAGGAGCCAACATTATTTGAAGTAAATGATCTGATAATTATTCAGAAACTAACCACATAGATCTGTATTAGCTATCTGAGGACCAAATCTGGATCAGATTTAGGGTTTTTCATGAACTTGTCTGTGTTTGTGTCCCCTTAGGGAGGGTTATTAACTTCCTGCATTGGCTTAGTGAAAATTTAGGTAGATCTTGAAGTAACTTAGTATCTAATAAAATTTAAATTAAAATGTGACCTACATACCAGAATTTATAACATGTAAATATTAATAAGCATCATAATAAGTTGGCTAGGTTAAGAAATGCTTTTACAAAAAGGTAAGGTTTACTGTCCAATACAAAGGAAGATATGTTGGTATCAAGTATTCACCTTTTTCTAAAACCTTACAAAGTTTTGGAGATGCTCCTTCATTTGAGATGAGCATCTCTTCCCCTTTCTTAGTCCTGAATGAAAGAGTTGATGTGTTTAACTAAAACCTTAAATTTAAGGTCTGTTGGTGCTGCAACAGGCTCAGGCTAGAGGTTAACAGGCTTGCCTAGGAGTAAGAAAGCTTAAATTGAATGTAGGAGGAAACAAAACTCTCAGATCTGGAGATATTCCAGCTGATAGATAGTAACCATTGCTTAATAAAGTAATATGCTAACATTAACAAATCATGTAGGACCTTCTCTGTGTTTTATCATTTCTCTGCTCAGCTGTTGAGGTGCAAAGGGATCCCAACAGTTGAAATACTGTTTTTATTTTTATACTGAAATAAAATACTGAAATACTGTTTTATTTTCAGTTTTCATTTTCTTTTGCATATTGAATGATGCTTCCTTATCTCAAACTAATTTCAGCAATGTACATGTTTTAAGAATGTAGGCTTAGTTAGAAATAAGCTCCAAGAGAGTGGGGTCCTTGTCTTATTTCCAGCTATGTCCTCAGTGCTGACATAGGGCCTGGCATGCAGTAGGCACTCAGTAAATATTAGTAAAACTAATAGTTTAATATAGTTAAGCATAGTTGTTTACTGTGGGTATAATACACAAGGACTTTGGAATGGGTTGTAGTTTATCAGAAAGGAAGAATGAATAGGCATTTTGAAGATGTTCAAGTTTTTTAACCTTGCTTATTTTTAAAATAAGGGGATTAGGCTAAAATAATTCTGCCTTCTATAGATGGGGTGGGGTTGGGGGTCCCAGACTTTTTCTGTCACCTAGGCTAGAGTGCGGAGGTGCTGTCTCAACTCACGGCAGCCTATTCCTCCCAGGTACAGGCAGTTCTGAGCCTCAGCCTCCCAAGTAGCTAGGATTACTGGCATGCACCATGATGCCTGGCTAATTTTTAAATATTTTTTAGTAGTAATGGGTTTCACCCTGTTGGCCAGGCTGGTCTCAAATTCCTGGCCTCAAGGGATCCATCCACCTCAGCCCCTCAAAATGCTGGGATTACAGGTGTGAGCCACCATGCCTGACCCCAGACTTTTTCTTGAAGGGCTAGATGTTAAATATTTTAGGCTTGTGAACCATATCATCTGTTGTAGAGCACAACATAAACATGTGGACAGGATTGTGTTCGGTACAATTTAATTTACAGAAATAAGCAGCTGGTGTATATCGGTAACGCTTGTTGGAGAGAAATTGCTTTCAGTTATAAATGTTTGTGATCCTGTGATTTATTGCTGTTTTGAAATGCTGCTCATTTGAAGTGGATTCTAGGGTTAATACAGGTACTTCTGTTTGTTCAGGAAACATGATGAAAGTATTGAGGGGGCATCAAAACTGGGTGTACAGCTGTGCATTCTCTCCTGACTCTTCCATGCTATGTTCAGTCGGAGCCAGTAAAGCAGTATGTATCAAAGTTCTTGTACATTCATTGTGAATTGGATTATGATCATGTGTGCATAATCATTTTAAATCTAAGTAACCTATCAAGTCTGTGCTCGGTGTCATGAATATTTTAAATGTTTTATTTCATGATGGGTGAGAATTTGCATGAAGGAAATATAGTTATTGATTGTCAAGTGAGAAGTTGAATTGTTTTTAGAGATAATAGAAAATGAGGGCATATTAGGGCGTTTTTTGTAAGTCTAGAAAAGTTTATGTACTGTAGAAGAGATCTAGTCTATATGTTAAGACATTTCCTTGCTAATTATTTTCTTCTCTGTTGCTCTTATTTTTTTGGTCCAGTTTGCTGTTATTAAAGTTTAAAGTCCCAGCTGGTCCTGTACATTTAACTGAAAAAAAGTAACTTGAAAAGCATAAGAATAAAAATAGCACTCATGTATGTCCTAGAGTTGTTATAGGTGAAATTTGATATTGTTTATCTTACATAGCATACCTATAGACAAGTAACGTGACTGTTAAGAGGGTTATGCTTATTGATGAACTCTCTTTTAGTTGTTTACCAGCTCTAAGTTAGTATAGTTAAATTGATCTCAGTAGCTGCAAGTATTTATGAAATGATTAAAGTCTAAATACATGTGATAATTACAGTACACTTTGAACTAATGGAGGGTGGGAGGCTAGTTGAAATGCATTTTATTTAGCCAAGGAGTATGTTAAAATGATAGTTACAAATTTTGGAACTTAGAACAAGATACTCAATTTAGTTATTTACATATCATAAGAAGAACAAAATTAGATGTTGACATTGCTATTTTAGGCTGTGTGTTTTCCATATGCTTCTTGCTTTCCCTGTCACAGGTGGTGGCAGCAATATTGGTGTGATTGAGGTTATGCTGGCACCACTCACACACAGGCGCACAATGGTGTTAGCTGGGCAGAAAGAGTGGCATCTCTGGCTACCGGGCTGGGGGCGACCTTTACCATAGGATGAAGTAACCTTGCATTCGGCTGCAAGGTGTACTGTACGTACACAGGTGCTGGTCGATGTCCACTTTCTGCTTTTCTTTCTTTCTTTTTTTCTTTTTTAACGTAATTTCCCACACAGTAAAGTACACTGACTCCTGAGTAAATTGATTTTCCAGTTCGATGGAATTGGGAGTCTAACAAGTGAAACCAATTTAATATAAAGTATTTGGCTTTCAAATGGTTTCTCTGTGCTATTTTTTGGAATTCTTTAAGATTCCAGAGAGATCGTACGTCTTTGAATCAGTTTAAAATTTGTACTTATTTTCCTTTAGAAATAATGTATTGTGTCTGTGCAGAAAAAAAGAAAAAAAAAAGCAAAAAGAATTGCTTTGCTCCAAGAGGAGAGATTGTCTTACTAGGATAAACCTCCAAGCTCACATTTAATATAACAGACTGAAGTAAACATTAGAATCCTATTTAGAGCTATTCTGCACAGTTAACTACAGTCTTTAGATTCTAAAATTGTATGTGAATTTGTTCTTAAATAATTGAACTGTTTTATACTTAAAATGACTAATGATTGTGGTCAGTTTGGGAAAAATAAGATGGTTAAATTTTGATTTACAGAAATTAATTATTTTCATAAAATAGCATTTTCATTTTGTAATGTGGTTTAACATGTCCTTGTTGTTTGCCAAAGAAATTTCATTTGGCTGTGAATATTCTATTTGCTTGCAGTATCTGTTTCTCTTCCTAGGCTCAAGTTGGTGACCCAAGCCTATTGTAAACAAGTGATTATCTCAAAGGGAGATGCCAATGGAGTAACAATTTGTTAACCTTACGTTTTCTGTCTGTATATTTTTTTAAAAAATCTGGTAGTTTCTGGAAAAAAAGAGAAGGGGGTTTGTAGTACTTAACCCTATTTATTTCCATATATTTTAGTTAGTTTTTGGAATAAATGTATTTCAGTATAACTTTGTGGTTAAGTTACATTGCCATTATTTTATGTTTAGGCTTATTTTTAAATTAACATTTAACAGAAATATTTGAAATAGAATTTGCATGTCTGCCTTAATTAACTTAAAGACTGATTTTAATCTGACTATGACACTGAGCATATTCTTTAAATTACTCATAATTTATGTTTAATATAATCTTAATTAAATTTAGCAGTTTTAGTTTAAGATGTGCCATTTTTCCTCTGCGTGTCTGAATGAAGCTATAACATTTGCCTTTTTATTGCAGGTTTTCCTTTGGAATATGGATAAATACACCATGATACGGAAACTGGAAGGACATCACCATGATGTGGTAGCTTGTGACTTTTCTCCTGATGGAGCATTACTGGCTACTGCATCTTATGATACTCGAGTATATATTTGGGATCCACATAATGGAGACATTCTGATGGAATTTGGGTGGGTACAGCATGAATTATTTTAGTCTATAATTCATCTCTGGCTATCAAGTCATGTGAATAATTAGAGTCACCAACATAGAAACCTAAAATTGCAGTTCATTGTAATTTAAAATTTTGGCATTATTTAAGCCCTTGACTAATGCAGAGCTTTAGATATAAATTCTAAAAGTAAATTTGACTCTCTTGATACATCAGAGTTTTGCTACTTAACAGGACCCAACTCTCTATAGAAGTACTAATTATTATGTTTAGTTTTTGTTGGAGAAAAACAAAACCAAAGTTGGACTTAATCTTACTATCTTAAATCATGAAAGATTAATTCTTTTCAGGTCACTTTAATTATTGTGTATCAACTCAAGTTATCTCAGTTATATTCATTAAGGCTAGTTTAAACATATTCAAAGACAGATGTACTTTGTACCTGGGTAATTTTGTTTTCTTGAACTGACTGTGATATCCACTGAAAACATGTATTTGACCTTAGGCACCTGTTTCCCCCACCTACTCCAATATTTGCTGGAGGTGCAAATGACCGGTGGGTACGATCTGTATCTTTTAGCCATGATGGACTGCATATTGCAAGCCTTGCTGATGATAAGTAAGTATGTGCATTATAGCTTGACTGACTTACCATTACCTTTTACATTCTTAAGCCTTAAAAGCCATTCTGCAGTTAGAGTTTTAATGTCTCTTTCTCAACATAAGCCCTTGGGAGATTTTGTTGTTTCTTAAAAGAATATCAGCTGAATAATTATCTATGTAAACTAAAGATAATGCATGCCTCTCCCTGTGCTCCTTGTTTAACTTGCTTAGGCATAGTGGGTTAATATTTTTAGTCAGCTTTTAGCACAGCTTACAGAGATTTTTTTTTTTTTTTTTTGGAGACAGAGTTTCGCTCTTGTTACCCAGGCTGGAGTGCAATGGCGCGATCTCGGCTTACCGCAACCTCCGCCTCCTGGGTTCAAGCAATTCTCCTGCCTCAGCCTCCCTAGTAGCTAGGACTACAGGCACGCGCCACCATGCCCAGCTCATTCTTTGTATTTTTAGTAGAGACGGGGTTTCACCATGTTGACCAGGACGGTCTCGATCTCTTGACCTCGTGATCCACCCGCCTCGGCCTCCCAAAGTGCTGGGATTACAGGCTTGAGCCACCGCGCCCGGCCGAGATTTTTTTTTTTAACTTTTTTTAATGAGACTGGGTTTCACTATGTTGGCCAGGATCTTCTCAATTTCTTGACCTTGTGATCCACCCGCCTCGGCCTCCCAGAGTGCTGGGATTACAGGCATGAGCCACTGTGCCTGGTCTAGAGATTTTTTAAAGTAATATCTTACAAAGGTTGTAAGAAAGGAAATTTCTAAAGTGAAACAAATAGTAAAACTAAAAAAAATTATGAATAAATAGTAATTTGTATCCACCATGATTGAGACTAGAATATGAAATATCACATGAATGAGATGTGCTGCTTACTGATAAGAAATAGAAACTAGTTGCAACCATCCCATTTTCACATCCTTTTATTATAGTGTTCATACATATTGCATTGAGTAGTTTGGTGACATCAATTCGTCAGGCACCTCTTTTATCTTTCCAGAATGTTACCAAACATAGGGAGAGAGGTTTTTCTGTTTGTAAGCAGTCATTGTTTTCCTGTTTGCCCAAGTAGATTCTGCATATTAGTTCTCTGCTGTATTTATAGATACACTCAGCCTAGGTGAAAACTTTTTTTTCTTTTTCTTTCCTATTTTTGGGGGACAAGGTCTTGCTTTGTTGCCCAGGCTCTAGTGCAGTGGTGCAGTCACATCTCACCACAGCCTTGATTTCCTGGGCTCAGGTGATCCTCCCATCTCAGCCTTCTGAGTAGCTGGCACCACAGGTGTATACCCCACCACACCTGGCTAATTTTAAAAAAATTTTTGTAGAGACAGGGTCTCCCCATGTTACCCAGGTTGATCATAAGTCCTGGACTCACCAGCCTTGGCCTCCCAAAGTGGTGCAACTGTGGTTGTGAGCCATTAGGCCCACCTAGCTTTTTAAAGTGTCTTGGGAAAAGGGTGAAACAGACTAGAAACTGGTTGTATTGTAAGTGTAGGAAAGTAAGGAAAAAGCCTCTGGGTCTGAACATTCTAGATTTGAACACTGGGAAGGTGAGAAGGCAACCGTGCATGGTAGTCTCTTAAGTGAAAGTTCATCCAGTTTACCAACTGGTATTTATAGACCTTAATATATTTTATAATTTTATAAAACAAGTTACAGTCATTGCCTGTTGGTGTGATTTTTGACTCATAACTCAATGGCGTTTCTTTCTAAATTTTAAAAGATGCTTTTACCTTATATTTTCTACAAGATACTCATTAAATAATTTATTTCCTTTTCAGAATGGTGAGGTTCTGGAGAATTGATGAGGATTATCCAGTGCAAGTTGCACCTTTGAGCAATGGTCTTTGCTGTGCCTTCTCTACTGATGGCAGTGTTTTAGCTGCTGGGTAAATAAATTTTCCTCTTTTCTTTAAGGGGCAATTTAAGTTGGCTTTTAGCAGCTAGTAGTTTATTGTCAGTAAATCTCTAATGAAAGTGTTCTTTAGAGTAATATGACCTTGTCATAGAATACATCATTGGTTAGTTGGATTTTAATGTGAAGTTTGTGACTCCAGTATTCACATGTGTTAGATGATAGTTGTTTGAGCTGTAGCAACTTTGAAATACATATCCTTGGGTGACTGAGCATGTGCTTTATTTCTGTTTAGGACACATGACGGAAGTGTGTATTTTTGGGCCACTCCACGGCAAGTCCCTAGCCTGCAACATTTATGTCGCATGTCAATCCGAAGAGTGATGCCCACCCAAGAAGTCCAGGAGCTGCCAATTCCTTCCAAGCTTTTGGAGTTTCTCTCCTATCGTATTTAGAAAATTCTGCCTTCCCTAGTCGTAGGGACTGACAGAATACACTTAACACAAACCTCAAGCTTTACTGACTTCAAGTATCTGTTTTTAAAGATGTAGAAGATTTATTTAATTTGATATGTTCTTGTACTGCATTTTGATCAGTTGAGCTCTTAAAATATTATTTATAGGCTACAGAGATATTTCTGAACATATCAAATAGAAATTTTTTTAAAGATCTAACTGTGAAAACATAAACATACATGTATATATTTAGATATAAGCTGCTATATGTTGAATGGACCCTTTTGCTTTTCTGATTTTTAGTTCTGACATGTATATACTGCTTCAGTAGAGCCACAGTGTATCTTTGCTGTAAAGTGTAAGGACTTTTTAAATTCTGGGACACTGAGTTAGGCCTGTAAATACTGACTTAAGAAAGTTGAACTGGGCCAGATGTGGCAGCTCACGCCTATAATCCCAGCAGTTTAGGAGGCCAAAGTGGGTGGTTCACCTGAGGTTACTTAGCAGTTTGAGACAAGCCTGGCCAACATGACGAAAGCCTGTCTCTACTAAAAATACAAAAACAATTAGCCATGGTAGTGTACGCCTGTAGTCCCAGCTACATGGGAGGCTGAGGCAGGAAAATTGCTTAAACCCAGAAGGTGGAGGTTGCAGCAAGCCGAAATCACACCACTGCAGTCCAGCAAGACTCCATCTCAAAAAAAAAAGTTGTCTTGCCTCATATGAAATGTGTTTGGTTGCCGTGCGTGGTAGCATGTGCCTGTAGTCCCAGCTACTTGGGAGGCTGAGGTGGAAGGGTCGCTTAAGTCCAGGAGTTCTGGGCTGCAGTGAGCTATGCTGATCCGGTGTCCGCACTAAGTTCCGCATCAATATAGTGACCTCCCGGGAGCGGGGGACCACCAGGTTGCCTAAGGAGGGGTGAACTGGCTGAGGTCGGAAACGGAGCAGGTCAAAACTCCCGTGCTGATCAGTAGTGGGATCGCGCCTGTGAATAGCCACTGCACTCCAGCCTGGGCAACATAGCGAGATCCTGTCTCAAAAAAAAAAAAAAAAGAAATGTGTTTGGTTGGAGGGTGTCAGACTGACCTGGAAGTGAAATAGTTTTTTATGTACAGGGAAAGGATTTTATTATCCTTAGGGATAGCATCTAAGACGTAAAGTTTCAATTTGACATTATTTGAAAACAATAACAACAAAGAAAAGGCAGAGGCGGGATATAACTAGAAAAAGGATGTCTTTTTTTCCTTCCTCTTTTAAACACTGCTGCTGCATTAGTTTTAGAAAGCAGCTTACTAGTTTACCCTTGTGGTATAAAGTATTATAAATTTGTGTTAATTTGAAAAATCCATCTTCTGTATTATTGCTAAATATTTTGTTTGTACTAAGGGACAATTATTTTAAGACCATGGATTAAAAAAAACCAAACACTATGTTTCTGCAGGGGATGGATGATTGGTGAGTTGCCAAAGAGAAGCAATACAGTATATCTGCTTTTGCCTTCTGTTATTTATCTTAACCTGCAGATATTAAGAATGTATGCATTATGTAAAATGCTCAATTATATATTTTTGTTGAGTTTTTTAATTAAAGACTTGTAAAAAAATCCCAGTATATTGCAAATGTTTCTTTAACAGGTTAGGTCAAGTGCTTTCTCTCTGTCTCCATTGTAATGTTAATTTGCATACCATGGGCAAATTAATCAGAAAGAACAATGAAGAAAGAGCACTCTAGAGATCATTCAGGGCTTCCCGAGTGCAACAGCTCTTATGGTGGTTTTGTTATTGGGAGAACCGTTGTAAATGCATACTTTAAAAAAAGTATAGGAAAAAAAAAGCATAGGAAAACTTTAGAAGACAGAAAAATGACTACTAAGCCAAAGAAATAATATCTTTTAGTGGGGAACTAACAAGCCTATAATAAGCCTATCTGGTTAGTTATTTAAAAATCTAGCAATCTAGGTCCTTTGAGAAGGCATAAAAAAGAGAAACTCTTAGGAGTCATGTGTGATTTTGAAGATGCGTTTCCACTGAGAAATTATTTGGAAGTTCCTATGGTTACCTCTGTTAAGGAATGTAAAAAATTTACAGGGGGTGTAGGTTATCAATTTGAAAGCCAGTGGAAAGTCTGCCCAAGTTACTTCTTGCTTGAGGATCATCTATGTTTTACAAAAAGCACAAGAAGCATCTAACCTTTCTATTTCTTGTGACTTGTTTTCCCCTGTATTTTACTTTGTAATATATCAGCTTTATATATATATATATATATATATATATATATCTTTATATCTTTATATCTTTATATATATATAATTTTTATTTTTATTTTTATTTTTTTGAAATAGAGTCTCATTCTCACCCAGGCTGGAGTGCAATGGCATGATGTCGGTTCATTGCAACCTCTGTCTCCCGGATTCAAGCAGTTCTCTGCCTCAGCCTCCCAAGTAGCTGGGATTACAGGTGCCTGCCACCACACTGCTAATTTTTTTTATTTTTAATAGACACAGATTTCACCATCTTGGCCAGGCTGGTCTTGAACTCCTGACCTTGTGATCCACCCGCCTCAGCCTCCCAAAGTGCTGGGATTACAGGTGTGAACCACTGTGCCTTGCCGGCTTTATAATTTTAAAGTAAGGTAACTGGCCGGGCACAGTGGCTCATACCTGTAATCCCAGCATTTAGGGAGGCAGGCAGGCAGGTTACTTGAGGCCAGGAGTTCAAGACCAGCCTGACCAACATGGTGAAACCCCCCATCTCTACAAAAAATAGAGAAATCAGCTGGGCATGGTGGCGCATGCCTGTACTCCCAGCTACTTGGGAGGCTGGCAAGAGAATTGCGTGAACTGGAGAAAAGGAGGTTGCAGCAAGCTGAGATCACACCCCTGCACTCCAGTCTGGGTGGCAGAGTGAGACTCTGTAAATAAATAAGATACCCTTACTTTTCACACCAACATACCCAGTCAAGTAAAAACAGTTTTTGTTTTTTTGTGAGACGAGTCTCTGTCACCTGGGCTGGAGTGCAGTGGTGGCTCACTGCAGCCTCTGCCTCCCTGGTTCAAGCAATTCTCCTGTTTCAGGCCTCCCAAGTAGGTGGGATTACAGGTGCCCATCACTGTGCCTAGCTAATTTTTGAGACGGGGCTTTGCCATGTTGGCCAGGCTGGTCTTGAATTCTTGACCTCAAGTAACCCACCTGCCTTGGCCTCCCAAAGTGCTGGGATTAACAGGCGTGAGCTACTGTGCCTGGTCCAAACAGCGTTTTTAGAAGCTAAATTCTCTCAGATGTTCGTCTGTTTGCTACCTCTTCTAGTGAAAATCATAATGCCAATGTGAAAGGAAGATTGCAGCATATGTGTCAAGTAGAAACAGGTTTGAATTTTCTATATGTCTGTGGGGAACAAGGTAATAACAGTGATAATAGACTGAAAGACCAAAGGAAAATAGGGAAGACAATGTTGATTATGGACTTGGATCAGATTCTAGCTACGTGGTTTTAAAATGACACTGCCGGCCGGGCGCGGTGGCTCAAGCCTGTAATCCCAGCACTTTGGGAGGCCGAGGTGGGTGGATCACGAGGTCGAGAGATCGAGACCATCCTGGTCAACATGGTGAAACCCCGTCTCTACTAAAAATACAAAAAATTAGCTGGGTATGGTGGCGCGTGCCTGTAATCCCAGCTACTCAGGAGTCTGAGGCAGGAGAATTGCTTGAACCCAGGAGGCGGAGGTTGCGGTGAGCCGAGATCGCGCCATTGCACTCCAGCCTGGGTAACAAGAGCGAAACTCCGTCTTAAAAAAAAAAAAAAAAAAAAAATGACACTGCCTTTCTCTTCTCTTTTGTCACAAGCCTGTCATTTGGAGAACTGGCAAGCTGGCAAGAGGTCATTAATATTCAGGTTTGATTTCCTGTTTTAGAATCCCATAGGGTACATAAAAACATGGGAAAGTCACACTCAGCAGCCAAGCTATCCTTTTGCAATAAATCACTTTAAGACCTGTAACTTGATCTTAGGTTGGCAAATCTTAAACTTAATGATCGTTGAAATTCCCTGCCTACTGTGACTGTGATAAAGTTGGGATTCAACTGGTTTGCACTGCTTCTGGATTGGCAAGACCAAAAAAGGCTGGACTCCACTGTAGCGTGCTTATGGGTTGAGGCAGTAGCAGAGGCAGGGGACTTCGCTGTCAGCCAACCAGTACAGGGGTAAGAAAATAGAAAGCATGAGAAGTTTCACAAGCCAGAAACCGTTGAGGCAGTGACTACAACCTCCAGATTAATCAGATGAGGGTTGGTTTGTAGGTGACGTGGCATTTTACCCAAGTAATTCTGAACAGACTGGCTTATAATACATTTTAACTAGCAAGTGTATAGACTAAAAGAAATATCTGCACTTATATATGGATGTACTATCATTTGGTGATAAAAGCATGGAAAAAGCAGCAGTTGGGTTTTTTTTTTTTAAATTCCTTTCCATCAGAAGTAAGAGCTGTTGGCAGCAACTAATAAAATGCAACTTAGCGACATGCTCCGCATAACCTTGGCAGATGTTTATGGTAAGAGGTTTGGAAGGAATGAACAGAAGTAGGCAATCTCAACCTGCTTTTTGGTCCCTAAAGCAAAATCTGCAAAAATCTGGTCTGAACCAGGTGTAGAGTGGCTTGTTCTATGATAGGTGGGTGGGTAGCTTTATGTGGTGGTTTTTTAACATTTTGTAGGCTTTTTATTTTCTACTTTTGAGATAGGGTCTTCCTCTATCACCCAAGCCAGAGTACAGTGGTACAGTCTCAGCTCACTGTATCCTCTGCCTCCCCTGGTTCAAGTGATTCTCAGGCATAAGCCACCCAAGTAGCTGGGATGACAGGTGTGAGCTGGGCCAATATTTGTATCTTTAGTGGAGACGGGGTTTCGCCATGTTGGCCAGGCTCGTCTTGAATTCCTGGCCTCAAGTGATCTGCCTATCTTGGCCTCCAAAGTGCTGGGATTACAGGCTTGAACGACGGCGCCTGGCCTGTCTAGGCTTATTTTAACAGTTGAGGAATCAGAAAATGATTGAATAGGGCTGGAATTGGAGAAGGAAAAATTCCTTAATTCAATTTTTATTAACTCCAGCACTATTTTCTCTGTTAGAGACTACAACTATCATTATCCTTCTGGTTTCTTTTTTAGAGATAATGATGATAATAAATTTCTCTACCTATGATGCCACAGAAAAGTTGGTCTTCTGGTCTGAAAGTAACCATCTTTACAGGTTTTATTAGGAAAACCTATAATAACAGTGTTGCCT